TATGTGTGAAGAATGTGTATGTACAGCCTTTAACCAAAAAGGTATATTAGTGTATGGATAAAGGTCACGAAAGATAAATCCCAAAAAAAAAAAAAAAATCAATCGAACACTGGCTAATAGAACGGTGTAGGCCACATAATGGAAAACATCAACCGCGGCCTCCTCCACCGCGCGTTCTCCGTCTTCCTCTTCGATTCCAACAAGCGCCTCCTTTTGCAACAACGTGCTGCCGAGAAAATCACATTCCCCAACATGTGGACAAACACCTGCTGCTCGCATCCGCTGGGAATTCCCGGGGAGACGGGCGCGGAGCTGGACGCGGCTATTCTGGGCGTAAAGCGCGCGGCGCAGCGCAAGCTGGAGCAGGAGTTGGGGATTCCGCCGGAGCAGGTGCCGTTGGAGAAGTTTGAGTTTTTTACGAGGATTCATTATAAGGCGCCGAGTGATGGGAAGTGGGGGGAGCATGAAAGTGAGCTAGCCCCGTGTATCTCGGTTTTTGTTTGTTGAGACAAGCTAACGTGGATAGTCGACTATATCCTTTTCATCCAGGCCGATGTCGATCTAAATGTCAATCCCAACGAAGTGCGCGATGCGAAATACGTCTCTGAACAGGAATTGAAGCAGATGTTCCAGGAGCCCGGGCTCATCTTCACGCCGTGGTTCAAGCTCATCTGCGACACGATGTTGTTCGAATGGTGGAGCCAACTCGGTTCGCCTTCGTTGGACAAGTACAAGGGAGAGACGGGCATTAGACGGATGTAACTTGCATACATACATATTTACATACATACCTACATACCTACTTATAATCAGATACCATACTTTCTTCTTTCCGTCATCGCTTTCTTTTTTTCTAAAGCGGTCATTGCGTCTTCGCATCCGTGACCAAAAACAAAACACAACATCCCAAGATAACACCCCCCACAATCCCAACCAGCACCTGCGTCTTCCACCCACTCTGCACAAGCGCCGCCCTTCGACTATACTTCCAAACTGTCCTCACATAATTCGCCAACCCATTCGCCAAGCACACCAGACTAAGCACCCAAAAAACCAACCCCAGCGGTAACGCCATGCGCTTTTCCAGCTTTGTCGGCGGAGCCCGGAAATGAAAGGAGATTATTATCGCAGAGGAGACGATTGCAAGGTACATCGATAACCGCAGCCAGGAGAGGAAGGTGCGTTCGTTTGCGCAGTGGTCGCGGGCGTCGGAGGTGGTGTTTTCGAAGAGGAGAGGGGATGTTAAGGGGCGTGTGAGGAAGATGTGTTTTGTTTTAATTTCGGTGCTGGGGGAGGTGAGGGAGTTGTGGTCAGAAGTTGGGTTATTGTTGGATTCGGTGGGGTGGTATAGTCTGATCGTTTGTTAGTATCTTTGTAGGTTGGGAAGGTTGAAGGAGGGAATACTCGTCAACTAGAACGGGGCGCGAATTGAAGAGGTTGATTAGTGGGTTGTAGGGCGTTTGGAGGGGATCTGGGTCCTCTGGGTCTGGCATTATATATTATGTATATGTAGTAATAATTAATTTGGTATTAAATTGAGTTATGTAGAGTTGAGTTGAGTCTAGGAGTTGGATATGGATAGATGAAATGACGCTTATCGATAATTGATATGACGCACGTGATTTTATCGGCGACTAGAAGTATACGGGTTGAGATTGATTGGGAACTTGGGAGAATGAAGGTAAATATGCATGTACAATCCTTTTGAATGGCTGTGTCTATGTACAGATTGCTATATACAGTCCTTGAGAATGTGGTGACTGGCCGTGCACTCAGCATTAACGCAGAGAGATTACTGATTAACGAACTTGGTGGTATTCCAGTCCGATGCAAACTGATTTGTTAGTTATTCTTTTTTCTCGTTCATGTTGAGAAGAGCACTCACATTCCAAGCATCAATCTTAAGCAGCGACGAATTCGCCGTCTTCCCGACATTCGTCAAGACCCCGACAGCTACCCTCAAATCAGCACACATACTCAACCACAAACCAAGGTCCTATAACTACACACCAACAATATTATTCACCCAATAATACTTCTCACTCCCCGTTTCCAACAAAATTCTCAAATGCAACTGCCCTGACGGCGACTTCGGCCCTGACGTCCGTATAAAGATATCCTCCCCATCGTTCGTCCGGAGGTTATATCGCGTGTCAGCAGAGAAGATTCCTGTTGCGGGGTCTGTGATGCCCCAGTCTGCGCCGACGTTGAGGATTTGGCCTGCGTTTACTGTTAGTAGCTTGTGGGATTAGACATGGGGTACAGGTGAGGACCTGATAAACGCGGCCCGGTGAAGTTCCCGCCGACTATTGGGATTGTCTTTCGGACCCCAGCAGGGCTAACGGGACCGGGGTCTTCAAGTAGGTTACCGTCACATTGGACGTAGGCTGTGTAGAGGTAAGAGAGGTTGGGGGTTGGTGGTTGTGATGCAGTTGTGAGGGGGAAGGAAAAGAGAGAGAAGAGGGGGAGGATGTAGTTGAGGAACATCTTGTTGACGAGTTGACTAGTTTATGGCATTGGAGAATAAGGACGGAGCTTTATATACGTCGACATCCGGATACGCCGACATGATGTTAGGGCATCTTGTAGTTGGTGCGGGGAGGATGCGGGGTTGGTTAATTTAATCGCAGGGCAAAATAGCCAGAATAACACGGCTATATTCCTGCGTTCTCATTGGTCAGCCCATAACGTGCTCGCCCTCGGCTCGTCACGTTATCCGACCGTATTCCTTATTGTCACTTCACCAGTTCATTGACTCGTTCACCATTAACAGAACATGATGTCCAGCGGAAACTGATCGCATTATTTTGCATAATTCACGACCGCAATGGCTCGCAACGATGGCCTCGGCGACCGAAACCACCATCCATTAACCTCCGGCTACTCGACCTCCCCCCTCGCCGAAACCGTCATCGCCCGGGACATCCAAAACTACTACGCAGACGATCAAGGGTCGATGCTCACAAGCGATGACGAAGACTCGGAAACAAACACTATACGCCCGTGGAACGGCAGCGAACCCGGGACGAACCCTCACTCGTTAGCGGGGTCTTATCGGCGACCAAGTTTTTTCACCACCGTCTCGCATGCGACGGTTGTTCCATACTATGCGGATCGGGAGGGATTGACGCGCGGGGAACGCGACCAGGCGATTGAGGAGGAGAGGCGGTTGTTGAGTGATAACCATGTTATTGAGGGTGGATATGGTGGGAAGGGGATGAGTCTGCCGCAGAAGATTTCGGGGTTTTTGTCGCGTCGTTCTACGGAACCTTTGAGACGGCATAGTGTGCATGCCGTGACAGCAGATACGCCGTTGCTCAGGCCAGACAATTCTCAAGCCCAAGAACCAGACCAAGAAGAGATTGATCGCAAATGGGAGGAAGCAGTGGCTGCGGGGCGGATAAGAACTTCATGGAAGCGCGAAGCATTGGTGATAAGCAAATATTCCGCGCCATTGATTCTGACGTTTCTGCTACAGTACTCTTTGACCGTTGCTAGTATATTCACAGTGGGCCATCTGGGCAAAAGAGAGCTTGGCGCGGTCAGTCTGGCGAGTATGAGCGTGAATATCACCGGATACGCAGTATACCAAGGTCTGGCTACTAGCTTGGATACCCTGTGTGCGCAAGCCTATGGTTCTGGGAAGAAGAAATTGGTCGGTTTGCAGATGCAGAGGATGGTCATTTTCCTCTGGACGTGTACTATCCCCATTGCACTGCTGTGGTTCTTTGCGGATAGGATTCTGATGAAGATTGTACCGGATCAAGAAGTGGCTTCGTTAGCAGGATTGTACATCAAGGTGGTAATCTTGGGAGCCCCGGGGTATGCTTGTTTTGAGAGTGGGAAGCGGTTTATGCAGGCGCAGGGATTATTCTCTGCGTCTTTTTATATCCTCCTTATTTGCGCGCCGCTCAATGCCTTTATGAACTGGCTGTTTGTTTGGGTAAGTATTGCTCCCTCGGTGTCAGCAAAGGATGTTAACAATATAGCACTTTAACTGGGGCTTTGTTGGAGCTCCGATTGCAGTGATGATCACTGATAATTTGATGCCTATCCTACTATGCCTCTACGTCTACTTTATCGCCGGCTCTGAATGCTGGAGTAGTCTCTCAAAACGCGCATTGACAAACTGGCTCCCAATGATCCAACTAGCCCTCCCAGGCCTCATCATGGTCGAAGCAGAATGTCTAGCATTCGAAATCCTTACCCTCGCATCCTCCTACTTAGGTACAGACGAACTCGCCGCCCAATCCGTCCTCTCCACCCTCGCAAGTATCACCTTCCAAATCCCCTTCCCCCTCTCCATCGCAGCCAGCACTCGCGTCGCAAACCTAATCGGCTCAACCCTCGTCGACTCCGCACGCACCTGCGCAAAAGTATCCTTCACCGGCGCAACCATCATTGGCCTTCTCAACGTCCTCCTTCTATCCTCCCTACGACCCTACCTCCCCCGCCTCTTCAGCTCCGACAAACAAGTCATCGACCTCGTCGCAGCCATACTCCCCCTCTGCGCCGCATTCCAACTCTTTGACGCTCTTGCAGCAAACTGCAATGGCCTCCTCCGCGGTCTAGGACGACAGGCCTTTGGAGGCTGGGTGCAGTTGTTCTGTTATTATGCCATTGCTATGCCGATTAGTTTAGGGACGACGTTTGGGCTGGGATGGGGACTTTATGGGCTTTGGACGGGTGTTGCGATTGCGTTGGGGTTGGTTTCGTTGATTGAAGGGGTGTTTTTGCGGAGGACGAGGTGGGAACTTGCGGTGGAGGAGGCCATTCAGAGGAATTTGACGGCTTGATAAACTGCTGTTACATGTGGCATGATTAGTCTACTATATCCGGCTATATATACAGTCACCTGACAAAAGTCTACGTAATTCCGCGTCGCGCGACGCGCCACCTGATATTGTCCATCATCTTTTCAACCACCTACACCATGCCTCGCACCCCTTTACGATCTACTAGTTCTAATAGGACTAATAGAAAGGAATTAGAACCTTTCCAACGGGGAATTATAGTTGGCCGATTCCTTGCAGGCCAGAAAAAGGCTGGTATTCAGCGCGAAATGAATTTACCGTATACAACAATTCAAACCACCATTCAAACATACCAGTCCTCCACCACTGGCACTAGTTCTCCTCGCATTGGACGGCCGGAGATCCTTTCTGATGCTGATAAGCGATATATTCTTTTACAAATCAAGCGGGATCCCTTCATCAAAACTGAAGATATCTGCAAATTACTTGGGAAGCCCATCTCTACACGCACCATTGCACGC